GGTCGATTTTTTGATTACTGCCTTTTGGACCAGTGTCTTATTCGCTCTGTCAAACTTACGACCCAGACTACCATTTCGGACAATACGCCCACCCGTGGGTCGTATTGTCTAAAATGGTAGTTTTTTTGAAAAAAATTTAAAACATGTTCCTGAGGATTTTTTAGAGGGGTTATCGAAGGCGTTGATTATCAAAAATCAATTTATTTTAGTTTTTGGGTTACACGGTAAGAGCAATCATCCTGTACGAATCCAAAACCATGGTTTTTTATGAAAAGCTGTGTCTCTTGGGGTTATTTCATGTGCTGATTACGTTTATGGTGTCCACTTTGTTCACTACCGTCCCACAGTGGGGCTGCGGTAGCAGTACGGTAGAATTTTCGTAAAAATCAAGAAAGTGATGTAACATATCAAAATTCGAGATCATTTTCATAATCAGCATGCTACAAAATCTATATGTATTATGTCAGCTATTCCAAAAACTGACGGAGCATGTCGAATTGATAAATTTCGTCCAATTAGCCTGCTTCCCACTCCTGTTAAGATCATGGAAAGAATCATACGTGAAAAACTTTTGGAATGGCTAAAGGTTTCGGGTTTGATCCCCGATGAACAACATGGCTTTTTGAATGGAGCTTCCACCACAACAAATCTGGTTGATAGTGTGTTCGAGTGGAGCTTATCAATCAATGAGGGCAAATCGGTTGACATTTTTATGTTGATTTTTCCAAAGCGTTTGATAAGGTTTTTCATGCTAAATTACTAGCTAAAATGAGCAAATTAGGGATTTAAGGAAATTTTCTTTCGTGGTTGACTTCTTATTTGCGTGATCGGCATATGACTGCGAAAGTAGGCCATCGTTATTCCAAAAAGTACTCCTGCACTAGTGGTGTTCCACAGGGTGGTGTCTTAGCCCTTTTGCTTTTCCTGATTTACACCCTCGATCTACCTTCTGCTTTGAAGACCTCCGCTAGCGTACACATCCGGATGTATGCTGACGACATAAAGATTTTTGCAGTCTATGATCCAGAAGTAGCTCCAGAGATTCAAATGAACTTGAAAAGGTCTCTTGATAAATTGACCAATTGGTGTGAGGTCTGGGAATTAGCGTTGAACTTTGACAAATGCTCAGTGCTTCATCTTGGAGGTGGAAATTCTACCTCGTATCACATCAAAGGCTCTATATTGAAGAGTTGTAATACTGTTAGAGATTTCGGTGTCTTGATTGATACAAATCTAAACTTCACTGAGCATATCAACACGTCAGTCAAAATAGCTTATTCTTCACTTTTTCTGCTTTTCCGCAATACTAATGTTAGTTCTCCAAAGATACTTATACCGCTTTATAAAGCATTAGTTCTTCCTCATTTGGAATACTGTTCTCAGGTCTGGCCCCCCTTCCGTAAAAAGGATATTCGCAGAATTGAAAAGGTTCAACAGCTTTTTACATGGCTGTTGTATAGACGTTTATCGCCCGGAACCACCCCTCCCGATTACCATACCCGGCTTGAGAGATTTCATTTGAAGTTTCTGACAGACCGTCGTGCTTTCTTGGATCTTGTATTCTGTTTTCAAGTTCTTAGAGGAGAGAACAAGCTAAAAGCCAGTAAATACTGGATCTTTGTTCCTACAAGCGAAAGGTCAGGCTCTTTCAACCTGCAATATCCAAGAATCCGGGGCAGGAGATACTTACTGATGTTCAATAACGTGTTCTACAGGTCGGCTAGGTGGCCTTCGCACCTCCCGGTTGAGACCACTAGTGCAGCGAGTTGTCATATTTTTAGGAGTAGACTGAAAAGGCTTGACTTGTCAAGTATCGCCAACACTGATTAATGTTGCATGACATGGCGAGCCTTCTGCATTAGACCTTGCGCTGCGGCGGACACCGCGGCGGATGCGCTTTGGGCTTTGTTTTTTATCAGCTTTCTTCTCCATTTTACCTCTAAAACCTGTCTTTTCAGGTGCTCGTTGATCTTGCATTGACTTGCGGGTTCAGTTATGGCTACTCAATTATGGTTTAATTTTTTCTTCTTTCTTTTTCGGTGCTCTTCATTCTATTTGATAATCATTCTGTCTTTCTGTTTGTTTTAGTTTCTTACTAACACGCTTTCATCATCATCTCATTACATATTGCTGAATATTCAATGTTTTTTCCTGTTACTAACCTTTTAGTCCTTTTCCTGACTGACCTGTCATACTTCCACCACTTCTTCTTTTGTTCCCACTCGGAGAATTCAGTCGCTTTTGACATTCAGCTTTTGCTTGATCCAACTACAGGTGTATCTAAGACTGGTCTGTTAGGTTTGGATACCTAACGTGAACCAGGCTGGCCTTGGACGCCCTCGAAGTTCAACTTATTCTTAGGGCGGTAGCATTCCCCAATGCTAAGCATCTGTATTAATGCAGAAAGCGTGAAATCTTCTTCTTAATTCAATTGGATCTCTGCGATCTCTATGACTGAACCTGTGTACTTAGATTGGAATGTGGAAGTGTGACAGGGACATTTTCTTTGATTACTGAGTATATGTTGTCGAGTTGTTTTGGCGCACCATGAGTGCATAAATAAATAAATAAATATGTGTAAGATATGACGAAAAATGCAAAAAATTAATAAAATCACTAGAATCGGCAATTTTTTGTAGGCTAACGTCAGTCTCTTTCCCGCCCCATACATGCATGTAAACTTGATTTTCGCTACATCATCATTCTGTGAAGAATTTTGAGCTAAATTCTATGCCTTATATCTATCTACGGTATACCTACCGTAACATTACATTACAGTATCCCGAGTCCGGACCACTCTGATTGAAGCTTCACCTAAGTGTCCCCTATCTGTGCCAGAACCCCTTAAAATTCCATCGTAAGCTGGCAAAGCCAGAGCTTCAGGAATCTTACGACCCACCGGTGGGTCGTATTGTCGTGAATGTGTTGAACATGATAATTTCCATGTGCGACCTTCTATGAATCTTGACATGATAGGTAGGTGAGACCGGACGACCATTGTGTCTATGGATCAAAGAGCACTTAGTCGGACTCACAAAACGTAAACATCCACTCCCCTAAGTGCACATAGCAGATGTCGCACGATAATATGCCGTTTGATATTGCTGCCACAATCTTGTCCTACGAGCAAGAAACTATCCCACGCAAGACACTCGAAGCATTTTGGATTACGTCACGTAATCCCAAAATGAACAAAAAGGACGAGTGCATTACCGTAATCAAAGAGTTATCACCATATCAAAGCCTCTGCGGTTTTGATTGTCGAAGTATAAACATCACGGAGAGCAAAGGCATACCATCACATTCTGCACGGCTTGACCACGAGCGGTCAGATCACTCGACTGACGTCGAATAAGGTGAGATATGGTCTCCGGCTCTTTGCTGGTCTCGTGCTCAACTCAGTTCGAATCGTAACGGCGAGAGGGCCCAGCAAGTACTTCACACATACGTTTTTGTTTACAGGCTCTGAAGACGGCGTTGGCGCCGAAACGTTAGCCAACCAATGAATGTTTTTGAACGGCGGCCAATCTTGGCCGCCGTTCAAAAACACATATAAGATAATCGTGTTAAACACGATTTTTTGTTTGTTTGTTGACAAACCTGTACTGTTGACAAACGATGCGCAATCACTATACAAGTTCTGCCCTGTCGTGCTTTGTCAAGAGCTTCTTGCACAACCTAAACTCAATCTAAAGACGTTGCTGTAGCTAAAGTCGACTGCATGAAATCGCCCATATCGCTGCAGGCTGAACGACGCGAGCGTGCCTGCAACGCGGCTGCCGAGTACGGGCGCTGTGATAATTCATGCGCGCGAATGCCAATGGGGTAGGGGACTATATGTCGCCGAAAAGGGGCGGTCCCCGCGGCCATTTGCGACAAATACGCGCCCTTGTTTATGCGCGGACTTGCGTTCGTGCAGGGAATCCACGCGGGACTCTTCCACATTCGGCGACATATAGTCCTCCATTCATGCCAATGTTACCCGCAAGAGATACGCTCGCGGGCCTTCAGCCTGGGCGATTTCGTGCAGTCAACTATACCAATCCTCCTCCATACAATTGCCATAAGCTATCTGAAACTCTGAAGACCAGCTATGTGCTGCCAAACAATCGAGCCTGCATATGCCCTTTGGGTAAAGTACCTTTCTTTTTCGTCACGAGTCTGCCCAATGTAGCACTTAAAATGCCGCCCTCTTGTCGTCTCGATTACCAAATTTGCGACAGTCTTTTAGCCACTACTCTACATATTCGCACAGTTTTTTAGTTAGCAGCCAATATACGTTATGTAAGCCCAAGTACGGAGCTGAAGTAATGCTGTGTAATGTAATGTAATGCGTCGATGTTGTTTGAGATGATACTGTATGCATAAAGTTGTCTGTATCATACTTTGCCTCTGCGCCGAACAAAACGTTTATTATTCCGCTTCAATCGCATATTGCGCGCTCTAGACCATGATGACCGTGTAAGCGCTTGTTGGAGGGAGGGGGAGAGGGGAAGGGGTCACACTGCGTGAAATTTCCACAAAGCGTTGCCGTTCCGCGGCATTCACCGAACTGGTGAATGTGCTTGGTAGTTCACTTATGGCATCGAATCATGTATATGCCGCTAAACCTCACTCCCTCTGTTCCTCCGCCGTGCCATTTTTGTACCAGAGACCCTTTGTGGGGCACAAAATATGAGCAGTTATAATAGGCATGCGGTGACAAAGCAGCCGTCGTGCGCGGTGTGAGTCCTGGGGCGGTATGTACCAATCTCCCGTTCGGGTGAGTGTTTCCGTACAAGTCGTAACTGAGCCAGACGAGGGCGCCCCCAAAACCCATGATGCGCGAACATTGGCGCCTGAACGTCCAAGAGCCTATCAGGCAGAATCGCGTAGGTTTGCAATTGCTGGACACCTACGCCACCTTGTTTGTGTGTTTGTGTGAAAAAGGGCTTCTCTTTGATTGGGTGGCCGACAATGTTAGTAGATCAAACGATACAACTGGGACCTAAATTTGATGATCAAATAAGGCATATCTTTTCATTTCCGGTGTCCAAAGCACTTGTGGCCTCATCTAGCAGTAGAATTTTTGGGTCTCTGACAATAGCTCGCGCAATCGCGATACGTTGCTTCTGACCACCTGACAGTAATGCCCCTTTCGTGCCAACCACAGTGTCGTAAGCCTGGAAGTTTTTGTGGATTTTCGATAGTCAGCACTCGATGTTCAACTCAGATCACAAAACTAGGTATAGTTGAGTCCACTAATTACTCACGTCTGGTAGTGACATGATAAAATCATGAATATTAGCAAAACGAGCTGCACGCTCGACTTCTTCTTGTGTGCAACGTTCCGTTCCACACATTATATTTTCACTGGAACAAGATAGTCTTGCTGAGGTCTCTAGGCAGTAGAGTGTGAGCTTATTCCCACTGTCACTCACCTAATAGTCATGTTGAAAAGCGTGGGTTCTTGTCCTACAAGTGCGATACTGTCGCGCATATGACGAATGGATAGATCGCGTGCATCATATTTATCAATGGTCTAAATGATTATTCTCTAAAAGGAGCAATTGTCGGATAACCCAGACAATTCACCAGAACTTCCGTATTACAAGCAAGTTTCGCAGCGGTCCAGCAGAATTTTGTTCACTATTACAAGACTGGAAACGTCGAAAATGGGGACTTCCGCAAGATTTTCACGCTAGACTGGGTGAGAACGGAAACTTCCGCAGGGCTTTTTATAAAATGCTGCAGAAATATACCGGCGGTTCCGCATGCTAGTACTTCCGCAAGATTTTGAATGTGTTGTCTCTTACGATGTTGTCTCGCCAGTAACTAGAGTGCGTAGTCAAATATGTCATCCATAGTGCAGTGGATAGTGAGTGGGTCTCGCAGCTAATAGAGCAAGCCTCGAATCGTGCTTGTTGTTGTATTCGTACCCTTCGAAACTTCCGCAGCACGTTTACGGAACTTCCCAGGCGACACAGCTGTTGTAGCAATTTTCTTCTCCATACAATTGCTATATGCTATCTGAGACTCTGAAAAGCAGGGTCGTATTGTTCCGAAATGGCAGAACACGTACGACCCACCGGTGGGTCATATTGTTGTGAATGTGCTAAGTACTAAATAGAAGGGTGTATCACAAAATATGGAGTAGATTAACTGTTCTGCATATAGGCGTTTTAGCATTATGATGCTTAACAAAAATTCATTGCTTATCAAAGGTTTTCCATTTCTTTTGCCATGATTATCGAAACAGAAAAAAAATTCATCATAGGCAGATGATGACATGCCCAATGCATTTTCATACATATACAATGATGTTGTAATGGCTATTACTTCTCAAAACACACAAAGCTTTTGTGATAAACTTCTATAATCTTGTTGTTGCATCATAAAAGGAGAATGTTGCATTTGGAAGGGCATCATGAGACTACTGTTTGAATTTCTACTTTTCACTGGCGTGATCACAACATGCCAAGCTGGCCCGGGCAACCGTTTCTGCTTCGAAGCGTGTTCATACTTCACGATTATAAGCCCGAATATGAGAATCGATTTTAAGGTAAGTCAGGTTGATAAGCGCAACGCTGAAATGAAATGCAAATTTTGAGGCACTGGATGAAGATTGCAAAAAAAGCTCTTGGGGACTAATGGGAACCTATAACGATATTCGCATGATATATGAGCAGGCTCGCAGAGAGGCAAAGAGGGTTTGTATGCAACATACTGTCTTTTGTCAAAGTTCTTCATAGTAGCTCAAGAAATTCAACAACTTGACATGATTGCAAGCTTGCAGAAAGTACTGCCATCAACTTCGTCTATTAGATAGAAACATAACCTGTTTGATAAATGTGAATAAATTTTGAGTCATGCTACACTGCCTCTTATTCAAAATCTTTAAAGATCCTTCTGCGCGAGGGTGACTGAGCGGGATGAGATAACTAAAAGTAGTGCAGTAGAAACAAAACATATACTGCACTTTCATGCCAAATCTAACTGCAAAAGGTACGAATATGAGCAAAACCGCTTGCGTTTCATCAATGAAAAAAAAGCTTTGGAGAACCAAATATAGAGAGAGACTATATAATATAGTCTATTTAATATAATCCTCTTTACTTCTTGAAGAAAGAGCAAAGGTAATAGCAACAAGCTGGCATACCTTCGCCACAATTCTTACTTCTTCCTCAGGCTGAGAATCGATACCAACCTCATATAACCTCATATAACCTCATATACCGATACCTTTCTCTTTTGCAGAATTGCTTTTATAATGTTTTCTATCTTATCACACTGTTTCATTTATTTATTTATTTATTTATTTATTTATTTTATTTTATTTTATTTATTATTTTTTATGCTCTAAATATTTTCGTCCTCTGTTTCAAATATGGCACGCCTTGTGCGTATTGAATAAATAAAAATAAATAAATATAAACAAACTTTTTTCCCTTACAAATGAACTGGTTTCTTCTTGGCTGAGCTGAAACTTCCTCTGCTTATGTGATGTCGACAATGACAAGCAAAAGCGGACGATTCAATTTAAGGGACGGTTGCGAATTCAAAAGTGTGCACAAGCTTATGGATATATTGTCCTTTACTCTGGAATTAGGTAAAAAAATTATTTCGCCAAAAGAGGAAAATTCACGCGGACATCACATAAAATAATGCATCTCTACACATTCCAAGCTCGTGCCAGTTGTCCACGACCTGAAACTTATCAGCGACATTATGTCCTCTACCCCATGGAGGGCAAACGGCAAGACATCTAGTAACCGCTGGCGTACCGCATTGCTGTTTGTTCACCTCATATATGAAGATCTTCGAAGTGATTTTATTACTATTGCGGGAACAGCTTGTGGATGCAGTCGACAAACTGTATAGATGTCTCAGACATACATGAGTTCAGCACGTATTTCATAAAAAGATGTTTTCATATTGTGCTTAGGGTAGTGACCAAAAGCAGGAAAGTCAGACGGTTGGGTCGACACGAGGAAGCTGGCTGTTGCAGTCTCGAGGAAAAGTTTTTTTGATTTCGCAAGAACCGACGTGCTCTGTGCAGTGCTCATAGAGACAAATGCAAAAAAGCAGATTGAAACATTAAAAAGACACTTAAAAGCATTGAAAAAAGCAGTGAGTTCACATTATTTGCATATTGTGTCCGGCATGCACCATCGTGCGTTTAAAGAGAGTGGCTCGTCAGAATCTCAATTTGAAGTTTTTTCACTTACTTGGGGTAAATGGACGCGCAGATTCCGAAAACCCACCTTAAAAAGCGCAAAAATTGCATGCAATCAGCAATTGCAAAATTACCAGCATTTTCTAAAATTCCTTATTGAATCTGGACGACTAGCACGGTTCCCGCTATGGTTAGAGACGCAGAGTCATTGCGGGACCCTCACGATTACAACATTGCGGCATGCCTCTTCTGGTGGTGAGAGGGGAATCGCAAGCTCGTCTGAGCGCGTGTAGGAATAGCCTGGGTTTAGGGGCAGTTTTCTAGGCAGTGGCAGCATGAGGGTTGAGCCAGACTTCGCGGGGAAGCGGCGTACGCGGCGTACGCGGCGTACGCTCGGTATATTTCATCATAGGAGCATACGCGGCGTACGCTGCGTACGCCGCGTACGCCGCGCAGTCTGGCCCAACCCTGACGTGCGTTCGGACCTGCTCAGTTCTCATGTTTGAGGCGCAAGCAACCTTTTATATCAAAATTTCGAGATGTTCGGTTTTGCCAAACCACTGCCTTTAAGGCAGCAACTGTCACCAATACGAAGTTTTGAAGGGCTGTAACTAACTTTTCCTGAGCCAATTCACGTGGCTCGCCAAGCGGCTCTAGGCCAGCCAAACTCGAAAATGTGTTACGTCTTCAGTCCTTTTTCATATTTTCATATAAAGTCCCAACTGTCCTTGCGCATACTTGGACTTGCATCTAACACCAAATTTTGGTGTCGCATCATTTCTTCTTCATTGCAAAAGAGTTTTCCTATTTTGGTAGGAAAAGGTTGTTCCTGCACAGAATGATGTCAGTGAGGCCTAATTGAGCACTCGCGACGTTTACAGAGGATCAGAATGTGGAATAAAAGAGAGAGGGAAGTGATAGTGGTGCGTGTACATATGTATGATTGAAGCGGAATAGCGATTGAAAAAATCCTTAATGAAAGAGACGAAGGCAAAATTCTGGTTGATTGATGGAGGTGAAGTTGGTCAGCTTTTAGGATTTTTTTCACACGACTAACTTTGCATGAGATTCCAGTCTTAGCGGTATTCAACAACTAAATACACGCTTCTTTGGGGGCTCTGTCCCGAACACACAAAAACAAAATAATTTTTGCTTTTTACTCCCAAAATGCAGTTTGCCCATAAGCCATCTGTGCCAAGCCCTGGTCACAGATATCTTTGAAGGCAATACCCTTGTCCAAACAATCTTTTGCCGCTCATGTCATCGCGCTGACAGTTTGCAAAGGAACTGCACAGCATCCTTCTACCTCAGTTATAAATCTGCATAAGCCTATTTGCGAATAGTAATTGAATAAGTCTTTCATCTTTCAAATAGCTATGTGTATACAATGATCTCTCAGTAATAAAAATTCTTCTTTTCCTACGTGAAAAGAATTGTGACTGCAGCTTCTGCGATCAATTTCTTGGTCGCTATTCGGTCGCATAATCTTATATCTATAGCTGATATGTATGTATGTCTGTATGTCTGTATGTACGTATGTTCCGAATAGAAATTTTTATTTCTGAACCGATCCGGACCAAACTTGACACACATATACTTCGGGCCCCGGCGGGTGTCATAGGCTACTTTTCGTCATCGATCGATGTCGATTTTATCGATTTTTTGCAAAGTTTGAGCTACGAGGCTGGGAGTTTGCAAAGGGGGGGCAATCGTGCATGTGGATTCCGAATACAACATTAGTTTTCAGGATTATCGATTACTTTGATCGATTTTATCGATTTTCTTCGCAAAGTTTGAGCTACGGGGTTGGGAGTTTGCACAGGGGGGTAATCAAGCATGCTGATTACGAGTTCGATATTAGTTTGGCGCTATTCGGCTAACCGGGCCCCAAAATTTTTTTGTCGTAGAGCTTGCTCAGATTCGTGTATAAGGGTTATCTTGCATACTGATTACAGATATCACACTTTCGTCGCAGAAAGTCTCCCCATGTGGTTACGATAGGTGTACGGTAGGAAGTCAAAATCATGAATTCGGCTAGAGTTCGGTCCAGAGAACTTATTCGACATGCTGATTACGCAATTCATACTCTCTCTGCATATTGGGACCTCTTCAAAGAGTTAGGGTGGTTATATACGGTGTGGGGTCGAAAACATAGATTTGCAAACTTCGTCGAGGGTGGTCATTTAGCGCGCTGAACATAAATATCATGTTGATTTCGCAGGATGGTGCATTTTCTTGGGTTACGGTGGGTGTAGATGGGTCGAAGTTCCAGACTTGCTCAAAACCTTACCTGTTCACAAGTATACTGCTTATGAATATGAAACTTGCTCGCTGTCATAACGCATGGTGAAGTTATGGTGAGTTGCAGGATTTGAATGGACAGTGCCAATTTAGATCCCAGATATTCATGAAATGGGGAAACGGTCGTTTTGCATGGTGGTCTCCAGCGCCATCCTGATAACCTGTCCCAACGTGTAACGCACGCGGCAAATCTCCCTCCCCCTGATTTGCTTAGGCAAAAGTCACCGAAGGGTGTATCGCACGCGACAAATCTCCCTCCCCCTATTTCTGCTTAGGCAAAAGCCGCCGAAGAGTGTATTGCACGCGGCAAATCTCCCTCCCCCTATTTCTGCTTAGGCAAAAGCCGCCGAAGGATGTATCGCGCGCGGCAGTGGTCCTATAAGGAAAGCATTACGGTCGTGGGAAACTTTTATACCACACGAATTGCCTTTATCGTGGGGATGAGCACGATATTCTTTGAACAGCACTTTAGGTAATTCCCTGCCAAGGTTTCAGGCAGGTTTATGATTTTTACCCGCTGCCACGCGATGACTATGATATTGTCATCAGCGGCTCAAATAACCCCCATATACCGAGTTTGAGCAAGATCCGTCGCAAAAACATCTTGGGGTCCGGATAGCCGAATAACGCCATCAGTTTAGATTATCCTTACTTTTATCGATTTTATTGTTTTTTTTTTTGTGCAAAGCTTGAGCTACGGGGCTGGGGGGTTGGTGAGGGAGGTAGGTGAGCATACTGATTACTCACACAGCGGGAATAGGGAATGTAGAAGTGGGCACAGGTAAAGGTTTACAGGGATAGAAATGGAACCTTTATCGTTTCTGACAGGGCCAGGCGGAGCCGGGAAAGCCAGCTAGTCGGTGCTAAACCATAGAAGCGCGGAGATTAGCTTGAGAAAGCATAAGTGTGACTACCTTTTGTTATAAATAATATCGTACGTGCCCTATATAACATCGCCTTTTAACAGATGCTTCATTCTTACTTGAAATGTGTTTTTTCGCAATTTCTTCGGGTTATTAGGTTGATGCATAATTCCTGCACCAAAATAGGTATAAACCGCAATAATCCGCAATAATGCTATATCCAAAATAGGAGTCGTTATATCGTCAGATATCAGATATCAGAGCAAACCAAGCTCTACAAGATAGTGCCTGAAGATTGCAGCAGCTTTGATCCAAGCGAAGATTGAAGCCAGCGAAAGAGCTTCTGGCGCCCCAAAAATCCAAGAAAAATTGGAAGTCCGCTCAGAAAAATCCTTCAATGTACAAGACATCTCGTATAAGACATCTGTGCCGTGTTTCTGCCTGTTATTGCTGCCATCTACTTCTTCTCCCCCATTAATGTTTGTTCCCGAGAGTGCCTTGCCAGCTATCATTGCTGCAGTGTTTTACCATGATTAGCTTTATCAGCTTGTCGTATATCAAGGAAACTGTATCTTCACCTCACCGCTCCTTACCTTACCTCAGGTCTTTTCAAAAGTCATCATTATCAATCGTTATCTTCATGCCTAGTATCTGCCATATCTTGCCTTCTCCCAGCCTACTCCTTCTCGGGGCCAAGTCAGCTAGCCTCCGCCCGTAAGCTCGCTGACACCAAATCGGGGATGTCAGCTATCATTGGGACAGCAAGATGCTGAAGTCTAGTCTTTAACCAGCCTTGCCTGCTGCTTATTCTTGGAGAACTTAATAGCCGTTGATCCGGGGCCTTGTTTACCTCATTTATCCCATTAGGCAATCATGTTCGTTCAGTGTTATGTCTTCTGTTCATTCCACTTTTCGTTTTTTTTGTTTCTGGCACACCTATTGAGTGTATTGTGAAATAAAATAAAATAAAATAAAAATCTCTCTGTGCAGTTGCTGTATATCTCTTCCAGCTAGAAATTAAGAAAACAAAGTTTTTCATGTTTTTTCCACAACAATGCTGAGATGTTCTAGCACTAAAAGTTGTGTACTACAGGGCCTTAGAAGCGAGAGTGTGAATTTTCAGCTCTTACAGTAGCTGGTTTACGAGAAATATCGAGTTTTTAGCAACTAGGCAAGAAAACTTCGGATGAGAAGAACTAGATTCGTCATTTCTCGTGAACTAGCAGTTCTAGAAGGCTGAAAATGTAAATTTTCACTGCTAACGGCATGTGCTATACAACTGTTAGTGTTAGAACATCTCAGCACTAATTTAGCAAAAACATGAAAACTTCGTTTCTCATCGTCTAGCTGAGAAAAAAAACAGCAACCGCATAATAAATGTCTTACTTGGAATGTCTACGCGTGGGCAAGAAAGAAATTTTGTAGAAAGAAATTTTTGAACGAAGTTACAACTTTGTTTTGATTGATCTTAAGGTTTTCGAACGCATGGCCTTTCCAGTTTTTGGCTCAAAACTTTGCGTGGATCAAAGCTGGTGCAGATATTTGACCAATATCTTGCAGGGTGGGTTTGCTATATTTGATGATATATCAAATCCTATTTAGGATATAGGATTACTCCGGATTACTGCGGTCTGAACCTATTTTGGTGACTTATGCAGCAACCTATAATAATAAATCATAGAGACATGAACCACCAGAAACGCCGGTTGGCCCCAACCACCATCATCTGCTTGTTTGTGGTAAATCTGTGTAACGCAGTCATGTCAAGCATGCAGATCATGTTTGAGAGCAAGATGAGTGAGTTTTATCACAAAAGCTGAGAAGACCATTTGCTCTTTGGTGAGCTTGCAAAAGGTTTTCGTCTATATTAGCTTTTGATATGAAACCTATCCAAAAACATTTGAACGTGGTCTAACCATGCTTAAAACAATTTTGCTATAGTCCGCCATCTTTTTATTGATAGAAGTTTTTTGAAAAAGTCTTTCAAATTATTGATTGCTTCAAAATCATCGCAAGTGTGACTTGTAAGATGCTCGCAGCGTAGGGCTGTACACATCATTGGATTTTTAATTCTGGTGATGATCAATGGAATTTCTAAGTAGTACAGTCTGTTTATCTTCTGTTGCCTTAATTCTCTGATTGAAAATGGAAATATTATTCAGCATAAATCCCTTCGTTAGCTAAGTATGTGACACCATCACGGCTTGCTCCATCAAATGAAGCATCTGTGCATAATCAGCATAGCATACCTTAAAAGCTCTGTTAAGATAGAAGAACTGCTTTATGAAGTTCCTTCTAGCTTTTCTGCTTCTGAGCATAGCTGTAGTCACATGCTATGGAGCAGGTCCTTATCATACTTGGCAAGCAAGCACTTGTCGATACTTTTTGAAGAAATCACCAAATGCAAAGATTGAGATAGAGGTTAGTTTATTTTGCTAAAGTCTTGTAGTTGAGAAGCGATAACTTAATTTCAGAAAATAATGGAAGAGTGCAAGAAAGGAGACAAAAGACTGGAAACAACATGTCAACCGAAATTTTTGGAGTGGATTAAGGAAAAAAAGGTTCAAAAACCGCTTGATTTTTTCGTATTTTGTAGTAAAGTATACGTTGTAGTATACTTCGCGAACGTGGGATCAAGCGTGCCCTCGTATATATGCCAGAAGGAACTGAATGAACTGTTTTGCACTGGAAAAATAAATGCAATGAGCACAATAAGTTTGACCATGAGAGAGATTCACGTCTGACGAGTATGGAGCCATTTGTGGTGTTGAACTTGCTGCTTTCGTCAAAACTGTCCTCAAAGAATGATTAGAAGTACAGAAAAATCCGAATGCGACAATTAAACAAATTAGCCTGGAAGTGCATCTTCTAAACAAATTAAATACTTGAAAGTGTTATTACCGCCAAAAGAAGCGAAGTAATTTAGCACACCCTGCCATATAAGGCGAGTTGCTATATCCTTTCAGTGTAAATAATTTGAGCTCATCACGCTGATTATGCTCGTTAAATATGATCGTCCGCAGAGGTGCGATAGTCGGAGCCGATTCTCCACCTACCTTCACTTTTTAGCTGGTACAGGGTGACCACCTTCACTTTTGGGTTTGAAAATTTTTTTTGCTAAAGCTCAAAAGAAGGAAAATAAGCAAAAGGAATGTAAAAGAAAGTATTAAGAGCATATATCTATGTAGTAGGTCGATCCAGGCAGTAACCGCCGAGAACCAGAATTTCGAATGATAAAATAATGAAAAATCGTGAAAAATCATTCCACTGTTACAAATCTGTTGGCTGAAGACCTCCGCAGTTGCTTTTGAAGGGTAAGTGTTGTTCTACCAGACAGTGAAGAAATCAGTTTGATTTGAGGAGTGGCCGCCAAGAACGAGAATTTTTGAAAAACCTTGAAAATCTTCTCAATTTTAGGTTGCTTAGTGACAACTGACATTTAAACTCTTATAAATCCAGACTTTACAGGTGTGTGATGTTGCCACTTCATAGGTTTTGTAGCGAGACATTTGCCCTATCAGAGTATGTCTTAGCTGTACCGATCCATTAAAACATCGCCGAGATCCAGGCTCTTAAAAAGCATCTAAAAACCGTTTTTCAGCTCATAACTTCTTCAGAACTGCATGAATCATATCGAGACTTCATAGGTTAGATTCTCCTCTTTAAAAGCTTTCAGATGATATATAATATGTGGGTGATTCAGTGTTTCTTGCGGCTCTAACCCGGGGTGGAGTACTCCTCTTCACTAATTCTCCACCCCACCCATTTCAATGTATTGGCGGGAGGCCGCCAGTGGAGAATTAGTGAAGAGAGGTACTCCACCCCCGGGCATGTGCCGTGGGAGGCGTGAATCCCCCACATATTGTATATCATTTGAAAGCTCTTGATGAAGAGAATCCAACCTATGAAGTCGTAACATGATTCATGCAGTTCTGAAGAAGTTATGAGCTGAACAACGGTTTTTTACCTGCTTTTTTTAAGAGCCTGGATCTCGGCGATGTTTCAGTGGATCGGTACAGCTAAGACATATTCTGATAGGGCAGACCTCTCCCTACAAAACCTATGAAGTCGCAACTGCGGAGGTCTTCAGCCAACAGATTTGTAACAGTGGAATGATTTTTCACGATTTTTCATTATTTTATCATTCGAAATTCTGGTTCTCGGCGGTTACTGCCTGGGTCTACCAACTTTCTTCGCAGTACGCCAGAAGAAAATTTACTCAACAAAATCTATAAATTCTCGCTGAGTTTCACTTCAAAACACACTATTTACTAAACACCTTTATTTTAGATGTTTATGCCGTTGTATACATAAAAATAGGCTTTGAATGTCTCTTTTGTATTTGTTTTGCTTATTTTTCGCGCACCGGCAGCAACGACTTGGAAGGATAGAATCAGTCGACGTTAACGTCCCTCCCCCCCCGGGTCCACGTTTTTAGGAGGTGAGTGTCCGGCACTACCACCTTCACTTTTGGCCGGCCAGTGGTAGCTGGAACCATCTTCACTTTTGGGGGCCCGTGCTCCACCTATCGCACATCTGACCGTCCGGCTTCTATCAGCAGTGATGACAAAATAGTACATGAGCAGGGCCGAGCACGAGGGTGGCAAATGGACATCGGTGAAACAACTTCGGCTTTGCTAATATTGATTTTTATTATGATTTCCCAATTGATCGTCAGCTGCCTAGGATGACTGATTGAATCGCTTTCTTCTTAACTATTACTGAACTGAGGAACGTAAAACAAGTTTATGTAAACATTTCGAATGAGTTATGTGAATTCGAAGTCTTGCACATCTCAGATGGACATTAGGTTTACAATCGCCCATTAATTTGAAGAAGTTAAAGGTAGTGTTAGTGTCCGGGCAAGATGGGGGTTTCGGGAATTCAATGCCATCCGATAGTCCCCCCCCCCCGCTAAAACGATCGGGAAGTGGTGGTCTGCGCCTTGGGGCGGGGTCCTCCAAGCTGTTTGAACTCCTGCTAAGCGGCAGAGTACGTATGCCGCCACAGTAAAAATCGTAAGGTCCTGCATCGACTCTGCGTCTCAATCTTTGGAGGGGGGGGGGGGCGTCGAATTTCAAATTGTAAAGCTTTGAAAAAGCATGTTCTCGCCTTTTACTCCTTCTAATGTGTATACTCAGATTCAGCGTTGCGGATAGCCCTTGGTAAGTGGAATTGCTGAAAATCGTGTTTTTTGTCCGAACTCTGCCTTTAGGCATCTTTATTCACATAAGTTTTCCATAATTTTTCATCCCTTTTTCCTTGCTCCAGTTGCGCGTCACACAACAGATTTAGTGCCATACCGTTATCTGTGCGTTGCAAACGAGACATTTAGTGGGAAATTCTCAGAGAAAGGTTTGCCACAACCTTCAATCAGGTAATTTTTCTGCAGTACTTTGCACTATGTTTCTCCCAGTCCATGCCCGTTTATAGTCCAGATTCTTAGTCATGTTGTTATGTGTCCGCTGCAACCGATATTCAATTACAACTCGAAAAAAATCAGGATTTTTGAAGATGAGCAAGATCGTGGTTTTGCATGCCAATCGTATAGCTAATCGAAAGCGTGCATGAACTTTCGAGTCATTTGTAACTTTAACTTAATATGTGAAAGGGTACTTTTCCGTTACCCGGACCCATTTTTCAAAGAAAGATACTGCTTCTTCCCTTGCACCATATTTGGTCCCAACTTCATAGGAAAAAGTGTCAACCTTCTGCCACGTGTCAAAAAAATTTGACATGCCATGACATCTACACGTTCAACAAGTTTTATCAGGAATTCGTGTTGCTCTACCTAGCGACGAACCTTTTTTGGTCAATAATGAGCCTATTTTCGACTAAACAATTTCAAAAATGACATTATTATAATAATAACGTCGCCCTATTATCAATGAACATACTAGATATGCCCAGAATAGAAAAGTGCGCCAGGGTTCTATCATCTAAGTGGCGAAAAAGCAGCGAGGTACTACTTCAAGCCATCATTTGTAGACTTTCCTGACTAAACTCGCATGGCAGAAAGTTTGAAGAGAAATACATTCTTGAATCATTGCCAGGAGCAATCAAGATATTCTAGTAATGGTTCTAGATTGTTTTGCTCTTATATGAATAAGCTGAACAGCTTTCAAGTAGTTACAAATGCTCTTTCACCTCACCGGAAATGATTTCGAAAAACGTGTCCAAGTGGACAGGAACGTGTCAATTTTTTCCTGACACGTGGCGGGGAGGCAGTCCTCGTAGGATCTGTGAAAATTTGTACTTTGACTACAGAATTTATTTTATAAGAGCCGTTAGAAAAAATGGGTCCGATAACGGAAAAGTACCTGTGAAAGTGCCACTTTACGGCAAGCAACGGCACTCTTACTAGTTACTTTTCAGTAGAACCTTTTCTAGCCTAACGAACCTTGAATTCGTGTTCTGCTCACTGACATATATCCAACAAAAACAAAAACAGACAGACAAACAAGGAGAAATCATTGGCAATGAGCAGGTTCTAATCTTGGGGTTTGTCAGATAGCGCACATGCTGTGCAGTACGCATATTAAGATACGAATAACTCGACGATACATGAAAATAAATTTACGGACATGAAAATAAATTTACGGTATGCTTTCTGTTCAAAATGATTTTCAGCTTGAATCTGTCCATCTCGTGCATTGAGCATATACATAACGGAAAAATTTATTCCAAAATTAATCTTTGAATTTTTATTAATCAAACCTTTGCTCCCTTATACCATTTATTGATATTTTACTTTAGCTTACTTTTATCAAATTGGAAAGAAATAATAAGTTACACCGAAAATACTATAAAAGTAATAAACGGATTTATTCAAAGAAGTAAATTTTTTCATTTTTTTCCTTTGCTGTAATTATTTTTACAGTCTCTCGACATGTAAAAAGGCCATCAGTTCTTTTTAAACAGTCAGAGTATAAAGTTTTGGAAGTTTTTAAACTTGTGGCTTCTACACATGCGATCATTAATGCTGGGGAATTGGATAGAGACAGTTTTCAAATTAAAGTGAAGTGAGGCCTCAAACTTCAAGAACTCAAGTTAGTATTCTTACTTTCGTGTTTTGCAAAACATTTCGATTTTGAAAATCATTTGCATTCTGGCTTTGAAACTTGTAGGGTCATCAACAGCTAATTCCAACTACTTTTAACAAATACGCAAAATGTTGGCTAACAGTTTGGTCCTTAAATAAATTTTCAACCTTATTTATTCCTCATTCTGAAGTCAATACAGGAGAAAACGATAAAAGTGTTTTTCTTTGAAATTTCTGCAAAGTGCGCATAGCTCTTTTTACCCCCCAATGCTCTTGCTTTTGTGAATAGCTGCGTAAGCCATGATTACATTTACTAACAATGTGCAACTGTTATTTCAATAACCATGCTGCAGAAAACGCTTCAAAAAATGATGACATGTGTTTAGCTTTTTCCGCAAACATTCCCGAATGTTTGGCACATCGGATCCACATAGTTACGAGAAGGCTTAGACAACGGCACTGCCATCATCCACAGTAGCGTGTAGTTCCAGCGGTTAACAAGCCGCACGCCTTTGAGTTCTGCAATGTAATAATGGAGACTTTGTTTTTTTTTTTACTTATAATCGCTGACTTCCTCATTCAGCTAAAAAGGAGTAGTAGTGTAGAAAACATCCTCCTTAGCGCAGAGTGAAAATCATTTGCTTAACAGATGCTTAACAGCTCAAGGTCGGCTAGTTGATTTTATGAATAATTCAAAGAGGGTGCAAGCCACTCAAGCACAGGAATGCGCAACGGTTCCCTTCTGCCTCAAAACTTTTGTTCAGACTTTGTTGGAAGGAGTGGATCAAAGACGAAAGAATGTTAAACCTATCGAGTTTTCCTCTTAAATTCAAATTTTTCAATGATTAGAGCATGCAGTATTTGAGGCAATACGCCTACTGTAATCGCTGCATACTGTATTTCGCTGTGTGTGCTCAATATTGTAAAAGCCATCTGCGTCAAGTCACAATGTTGCTTACGAACAAAGCTACTCTAAGCCATGGAGACAAACACAATTAGTGCCAGTCACATTTGTATAAGAAAGGCTGTAGATTATGCTTTCTGTAGGAACTTTTAATCAAATTCAATGCCTGCAAAAAATGGCAATATTACAGCTAAAGCCTGTGCAATGTTGAGTGATATAAACATCTCTTACCTTCCAATGCTGGATTCCAATGCATCTCGCGTCCTCGTAGCACGCAGCAAAGCAGTCGTTGATGTTGTTGGCCACAATATCTTTGAGAAGAACACTTTTCGACTCCTCTACTTTGTCGAAAATGCAAGATGAAATCCATCCTGCCTGAAAGAAAACAGGTTGAAACGTTCCCGTGTTACGATAAAGGTGTTTTTGCAATTGTGAGATAACCTGAATGAGTAGCAGAATAAGAGCAAACCACTTCATTGCAGTAGAAGCTGACTGACTGACGATTCTCAAACGTTTTACCTCTAAGAGTTCCTAGATATTGGAAAAACTATGGCAGCGATTTGTCGCCAAGAAACTAGGGCTTTACACCAAGTCACCAAAAGGGTCTTTTGAAATTGGCTTTGCACAGCTTGGTCGGTCTGATTTTGAGAAAAATGCTTCGAAAAATGGACTATTCTTATAATCAATACGGGCAGGGTTTACTCAAACAATTTTGAGAAAGTTCTAACAAGGGAAGGATCCTTAACCAGAGTGGCCTTTTCAGATGGGATGCACCTAATCTAGGAGGGTATCGAACGCTGATTCCAAAGCTATCCTCTCCATCTGCGGAGTGCCTTTAAGCAAGGACTTATGAAAGTTTTTGGCGGAAAATGCGAAGGCGTTGAAAGAAGGAAATCGTCACGGGAGTTACGTAGTTGTAGTTATATATATTTATATGCGATTTAATGACCGATCCTTTAGCCGAGAAAGATGTCCAACGACCTTCTCGACTCGTGCAATCACACCACTCGGGCGTGTCTTTTTGGAACCTTTCCAGCTTTACAGAAAGCTGCGGCGAGTGGGAAATTGGCAGCTCGCAGCATACCTAAGTCCTCATCTCTTTATCAAGCAGTTCACATCGTTTTTCCTCCTGCAAATGGAAAAATACTAGGAAGTTAACACCTCCAGCGAAATCGAGCGCGGCGAAACAACTGTGTGCCACGTCTGTATTCAGCATGGCAGATAAGCTCCGCACTCAAAGTTCTGAGTAAATGCGAAGTGTTAGAATTTTGCCGCTTGAGAGGGACTTCTATGTTTTCCAGAAAGAAAGGAACAAGAACTCGATTTCTGATAGTAAACAAAACTATCTATGTTGCACATGGCACACATCATTATTTAAACTCATTATTCTTTTTGGAACTGGAGCAAAGAAAGTTTGCGACGTCGCAACGTCGTTCGCGTTGCCGCACTTTGTTGTAACTGTTGTTCGATTTGTCCTCATATCTCCTGAACAAGCATTGGCAGCGCAGCTTCACATAATCATTTAGAAAGTAGGAACTTAGATGTTTGAGTCAATCACCTTTGATTAAAAGAAATTTTCCTGTAAAAGATAAAAAGGTCATTCAAAGCAGCGTGCTACACCATGTGCAGTACCAATCCGAAACATGTTAAGCTTTCAAAAAGATGTATAGATTTGATTCCAAACATGCTGCTTTTATTTCTGGCTGATAAGTGTCACTTTAAATCTAGCTATTGGCCTCTTTATATGCGAGATCTGCGTGCCGTCGAGTCATAGATATTACAATTGAGTGCTTATCCGCTTGTGTTGAGAGTTCCTTAAACATAGAAAGATACAGTCATTAATAATTCATTTTCCACCTTTTTTGGGCGAAATTTTATTTAAAGGGTAGTTCTCCAAGGTAATATGATAGCACATATATAAAAAGCAATAACCCCCTTTGAAATGCTCAGCAGCTAGAGACAGCATATTTCAGAAGAGTTCTTCCAGCTAAGACTAGATATAAGTTTTTTTGTTGAGGTCAGCTCAAATTAGTTTCCTTTCCTTGTTGCTATTTTCAGGCAGTTACTTGTTCTCAGTTCTATGTAAGACCATCGCCTTGCGCGATTCAAATGAAAGAATGAGTTTTATTCGTAATTGCAGTGGCATATAATGGCTATGACTGCGAGTACATGTTTCCTTCATTGTTTTATGATGATTTGCCATTTGTCATGAGAAAGACCACAGAAGTGGTTATCTCAGCACTCCCGCTTCAAGCTCTCATCCGGGACATCATGTGGGAGTGCATTTGGATGGCCTTATCTATAATAAGAAACAGGCATGATAGCCACCATTGCTCATAAAAAAGCTTACCCTTTTCTCCTAACTTTGCCCGGGGCAATGTTCACAATTTAAAATGATTGCTGATAGGTAAAAAAAGGGGGGGGGGAATCAAGATATTTGCTAAAACTCATTTTTTCCTGATCTTTCAGTGCTCATCAAGTGAACACGTAGGTTAGCTTGATTCCATTCAATCATTACGTGGACTTATTATTGCGCTTAAAACCTTGACTTATTAAAGGACACCCAGTGAAGTCCGTTACCATCATATGTGTAGGCTTGTCGCTAGTGATCGAGGTTTGTTCGTTTCCTGGCTTTGACACTCTAATGCTGCGAGTCCTGACTAGGCTAAACTGGCAATGTGGAAATAAGCGCTGCGAAGTATTGTGAGCAAGTCAAATACTACAAATTGAAATCCTTGAACAACTAGTCGAAACGTAAGATCAATAAGGTTAAACTTCCGCTGCATAGTCTGATTGGCAACACAGGAGATTACTGCACATTACAGTGCCCGGATTCAAAGACAAAAAAGCATTCAACCCTTTGAACGATTTATTCGATGGTGCTGGCCTCAAGCATGGGGATGGCTTGTTGGTGCACATGCCCAAAAAGAGTTATTCTTAGAAACGTGCAGTGAGAAAAAAGCCTTGCGGAACATTGATTGACCAACCTAATCGCAGTTGAAGGCAGCGTCCAGGCAAATCTAGGCGCATGAGTTCTTCGCCTGGAATGTGATGTGGGGCTCATAACTAAGGCACTGCCCAAGAGGCAATGCACATTGTTCATTCACGGCTGAGAAATCCGTCCCCGAAAATCCAGCGCCGCTCCGTGACCGTAACCCAAAAACACGACTTCCCTTACTCAACTACAGTCGAGTAGATTTTACGCTTAATATAGTGCCTTGCACAGAAGGTGAACTGCGGTAAAATTTGCGCGTGAGGAAATAGCTGCGACTGTGACGCCGGCCAATTGCGCGCGCAAAATGCCGGCAGTGCTGGCGTAGCTACCTGTTCACGCCCAAATTTTACCGCGTTTCATAAACTGTGCAAGCACACAATATTAAGCGGAAAATCTACTCGACTGTACGTTCGCGCTGACCCATCCTAAGTATACGGTCACGGTTCAGTGTGGATCATAGTTACGATAGGGGGAATGATGGATCTTACCCCCTTCACTTTGAGGCCAAACTCCCGATGACCCCCTTCACCTGGGCTGAGATTGGTATTGTACTCTGAGAATATGATAAAAATCGTTATTAAAAGGTTTTGCAGGCTGAGTACCTCAAACAACAAGTACACTCATCCATTTACAAAAGAAACGTAGTTTATTTATATTATTTATTAATCCTCGTAGCATTCATTCGGAGAGCAGAAAGTGAAAACAAAAAAGCAGTTGGTTTTTGGGGTACATATAATCCCTCATATCTCGCGGCTCAAAAGACCTAGGAAAAAGTCGACGATCTATGTCGATTCTCCATGATCTCAGCTTTCGAATGGTATAAAGCATGTTAGGGCTCCTTTGCTTCCCGGCTCTAAAAATCATTTGCTCCGGTAACCGATAAAAGCCAATACATTGGTGGAGCTGGATGGAGCAAGCTAATAGTAAATATCTCCACCCCATTTTTGAAAACTGGTTAGTTTTTTCGCCCAGCAACCTATATACCATTCGAAAGCTCAGGAAAAGGGGATTCGACCTAGACCGTCGACTTCTTTCTAGCCTCCCTCTACCGAGAGATACACCGCATTTTATCTGAAAACATGGTCATTTTCAACAGCAGATTTCTGCCAAATGAAGACCTAATCACTGCAGATTATCTATCTGTGTTAAAGAGCAAGTCTTCATTAACAAACGTAGACCGTCGACTTTCTCGTAGAATTCATTTGGAGAGCAGAAAGTGAGAACACAAAATCAGTTAATTTTTGAAGCACACAAAATCCCTCATATCTCGCGGCATAGAGAACCTAGAAGAAAGTCGACGGTCTATGTCGATTCCACATGATCTCAGCTTTCGAATGGTATACAGCATGTTAGGGCTCCTTTGCTTCCCGGCTCTAAAAATCATTTGCTCCGGTAACGATAAAAGCCAATACATTGTAAGAGCGAGGTGGAGCAAGCTAATAGTAAAAAATGTGCTCTGGATTGACATCGTTATCAGCACTAACGGCAACGCGAGCGAACACGTCTATTTAAGCGTGCTTATCGTTGTTATATGTTCATGTTTTTTTAAGTAAAAAATGCGCTTTTGATTGACAGTTGTGCCATCATTATCAGCACATACTCAAAAAAAACTATGGGAAATTGGTGAATTTAAACACCTTCACACAAAAACCCGCCCATTTCTGGAATCTATACTCTGTAAAATTAGTGCTGAAGAAGGTCACGTTCGTGAAAACGCTCTAGACTCACCTAATTGTGGAGAATGGTTGGTTTCAATAAATCAAAAACTTTGAGGCATTCAGAAGAACAACATGTTATCAAAATATCCTTCAATGTTTTGGAAAGGTTGGCAGTTTGAAGAAGAAGCGGCAGGCAGAATACTTCACAAAATCGCAGATGAATCGCATGTGTTCCAGTTCAACAGCGAGGCAGAAGGAGAATCTTACGCCGACGAATATGTTGTCGACATTGATACAGAGTTGACATTTGAGCGAAACTCTCTATTTCGTACATCAGAAATCCAAGCAGATTGCCTAATTTCAATGAGGAAATGTCCAAAAAGCCCATTGCTGATCTTCAGGTTGCTGAAGATTTCAAGGCTGCTAAATTCACGAACATGGATATGAACAAAAGGAAGGTGTTAGTAGCATAGCTACTGCTCATAAATCCCGACTAGAGTACTTAACTCTGTGCTTTATGCTGCTGGAAGTATCTCGCCTTGTGACAATATGACCTACTAGCTGGCAAACCCGGCTCCGCCCGGCCCTGTCATTATTATATTCGTAATCAGCATGCTCGATTACCCCCCTGTGCCAACTCCCAGCCCCGTAGCTCAAATTTTGCAAAAAATCGATAAAATCGATATCGATCGATAACGAAAAGTAGCCTATGACACGCTCCCTGCCCCGAAGTATATGTGTGCCAAGTTTGGTCCAAATCGGTTCAGAAATAAAAATTTCTATTACGCACATACGTACAGACATACAGACAGACATACAGACAG